CCTGGGCAGCCCCAATCTCCTTGAGACCTGGGAACACACGCAGGCAGCCAGGATAAGCTCCGCCTTCTCCCCTCTGAGCACAGAGGAAGACGAGCCAAACCCCACAAGGATGGCAGAAAGGCCCTCGCGTGTACCCGGGGCTGCCGGCCTGTCTCCACCCAGCCTCCTGCGTACACCGCTCCGCATAAAGCAAAGCGTTTCGGCCACACTGGGAAACAGCGAGTCCGTCCACTCGGCCCAGCGAAGGAAGCCAGGTGCAAGGCGACGCTTGCTAAGTGCCTGGTGAACAAATCAACACTGATTTAAAGTCTGCTGGACTCTCACAGAGACCCACACACTGCAGAAACTTCCCCGTGCGTTTGTGGAGCGCCACTTTGTATCCCTTATTTGACAAAGTCTGTCTCACACCCCCACTGTGCAGCTAATTCCTCTTTCCCTTCACTGCACGTCCGTCTCAAACCTCCAGTTCACAAGTCAGCTTCTAAACATAGCTGCATTAATTTCCTTTATCGGAAAACCGGGTGGGTCCTGACACTTTACACTTAACGGCACTTTTTCCATTGGAAGCACAGAGTGCCTAGCAGCAGGGCAGCCGGGAGGCACAAGACCCAAGGTCCCTCTGGTGGCCTCCGAGCACGAGCACAGGCCCCAAGAATCTGAGAAACCTGGGTCCTCCCTCACCACCCCCACACACATCCAGAAGCTGCACAGGTAGGACAGCTGGGGAAAAGCACAGAGCACCATCGTGGATGTGACGCAGACCCTGAAAGACAGAGCCTGGGGGGCCGGCCCCTCCCTGACCCCTCCCAGGTCCCGCCTCACCCAGTACTTTGACCTTGACCTTTCCCAGAACACACGCCGCTCCGGTGCTCAGGCTGTGCCCTGATTTTACCCTCTGCCGAAAACTCCACATCTCCAGTGGAGGTCAGAATCACACTGGCACATTGCTGAGTTTTTTCTAGCCTCCTACTGCAGTAAATGTGCCTCATGACCATAAAAAATGGTTTTCAGTGAGTAGAGCCCTGGCTGTTGTACACCTGAACACAGACAGTATGCTGAGCATGCTGCACAGACAGATACGCCGTGCATATTTGAGTGTTCTGTGGTGGGTCAGAATGGTCTAGATGAATAATAAAATCAAAGGCTGGGATTTAGCTCAGTGGCTCCGCTGCCTGATTCATAAGCCCAAGGACCCAAGTTCGATTCCCAGTACCAAAAAAAGAAAAAAAAAAAAAAAGAAAATCAAGACCACCCTAAGTCAGACATTTCTATCATCCTATAATATTTACTTTGTTCTTCCTACATTTTAGCAAAATCACATTGCTAAAATCTAGACTGATAAATAAGACACACACGTGTAAATACCGAATAGTTTCTCCGGTGTGAAAAACTAAAAGTGTAAATAAGATCCACACTGTATAATTGCCAATGTGAAATAGGAAGAAAAGGCTAAAGGTATAGGGGAAGTGGAAGGGTAGGAGAAAGGAAATAAGGGAGAAGAAAATATATGAGAAAAGGAAAAAATGGAAACAAAGTCTTTGTAAATAGGGGAGGGTGGAGGGGGTGAAGGGAGGGCAGGGATATGGGGAAAAATGAGAACCAGGATCTGTCCTGTAAGGGTACGAGATCCCAGGGACGAATGTGACTGCACTGTATACTTAAAAAGTACCAACAGGACCAGGGATTTAGCTCAGTGGTTCCGGCATCTGCCTCACAAGTGCAAGGACCTGAGTTTGAGCCCCAGTACCAGAAAAAAAAAATGTACCTATAAACTCAATAAGATTAAAAAAACAATAGGACCAGGGATTTAGCTCCGTGGTTCTGCTGCCTACCTCACAAAGCACAAGGTCCGAGTTAGATCCCCGGTACCAAATCAATCAATCAATCAATCAATCAATCAAATCGAGACTGCAGCATCATTTATGTTATATTAATACTAACACCGATTAGAATGGAATGGAGGGCTCGGAGCAGTGGTCTCTGCCTTTGGTCACTGGTCCTGAACCATGAAGAGTGGGCCGTGTCAGATGCCTCTTCTTCTCCAGGAAGGGAAGGTCATGGGCTCTGAGAATACTTTAGATCCAGCACTCTGTCTTGCTACTGACCGTAGGGGAGCAAAGACTGGATTTCACGAGGAGAACAGGGATCTTCCGAAAGGTGGGAGCAGGTTCGGCAGTGACAGTCAGAAACCACACAGCACTGAGTAGTGAAGGTAGTAGCTGCTGCAATTTTATTTCTAACTCTAGGTGTGTATATATACTAGTTTCAAGGGCACACTTCAAGAGTGATTTCAGTCACAAGCAGGCATAAGAAAGATAGACAATAGTACAGTAAAAGCTAAGACCACAAGGTCAAGGTAAGACCACACCTATATACAATCACAAAAGCTAAGACCACTAAGTCAAGGTAAGACCACACCTATACGCAGTCAGAAGGGGAAGTTTGTAAAACAAAGGACTGGCTTCAGCATGTCACCTTCAGGATCACCTTCAGGACTTCACAGTCCGGGGCTCAGGGTCAGCACTTTGGCCACCCGTCCTCTTGTGCCCCAACACCTCCCCATCTCTAGGAAAATCTAATTGTTCCTGACCTTTCCTGGGCCCAGAATACAATTCTACAGATAATGAACAAATAGTAATAAAGACAAAATAGAACAGAATTACAAATGAACCCAATGTCCCCAAACTGCAGGCAGAGAGGCCAGCTATTCTCTTCACGGCTGACTTCGCATGCGGTGTGTGCCAAGGACTTCCAGGAGGCTTAACCCCGTGGGGACGATACCTTGGGTCTGGTTTCTGCCAGATGACCGGCATTGTCACGCAGACTCCACTGGAGTGGTCGTGGCACTGTCTTGGCCATCCCTGGGGAGCAGGACTGGGAGACCCCAGGGCCTGCTCGATTCCTCCTCCTCAGGAGCCATCCCAGCCCCAGGCCACCTTCCTAACTCTGGAGACGCAGGAGGACCTTCCTGGGAAAGGAACCGAGAGAAGCCCCCGCTGCCTGGGGAGCATCCCCTCTGCCACCCAACGTCAGTCAGTGGGCAAAAGGCCACACAGCAGCCTGGCACACTCGGATCACCCATAGAGATCAACCCTGATTTGACTACTATGTGGTGTTTTCCAAAAGCTCCCACAAGGCAGCCAGGATGTGGACACCCAGTCTAAGGGTCAGCTGAACTGTCATTCTCTGGGTTCCTTCTGCTGCACCTTGCATTGCATAAGAGCCTTACAGCCAAGTATGGTGGCACACACCTGTAATGCTAGCACTCTGGGAGGCTGAGGCAGGAGGATCACAAGTTGCAGACCAGCCTGGATAACTTAGCAAGACTCTGTCTCGAAATTAAAAAAGCAAAGAAGGAAAGAAGAAAAGAGTGAAGGAAGGAGAAAGAAAAAATGAAAGAGAGAGAGAATGAGAACTCAGGCTATAAGGATTTAGCACAGTACAGAGGCCCTGGCTTCAATCCCCAGTAAGCAAAAAACAAAGTTAAGACAATGCAGCTGAGAAGCTGTGTCCTCAGTTTCCTGAACCTGTCTAGGCCAGAGTCTCCTGGTTATCACAGTACCTGTCCCAGGTCAGCCTGAGGACCGAGTGACGTCATGATCTAATGCTCCACATTCCTGAGGAATTATCTACCTGAGCATCTCTTTGTACAATCTCGGCTGAAAGTATCGGTCACTGCACTGCATAAAACAATTTCCCCTCGGCTTGACACAAACGTAAAACTGCCTCTCCACACCCGCAAGATCTTCCCTCGGCAAGGAGGAGGGAGCACATGAGCAGCCATGTTCTCCTCCCAGAAGGACAGGTCCTTGGTCCTGGAAGACCCTGTGTCCCCTCTGCTTCCCCTGGGCGGGTCCTCCACTCACTCTCACCGGGCTGTACTTCTGCCAGCTGCCTGCTGTGTCCACCTAAGAGGCTTCTCATCCTCTTCACCCACCATCCTCGCCTGTCCAGTGGGAACGAGGTGGCCACCATCAGGGTCACCATCCCGCACACAGGTACAAACCACGCCTTTCTCTGCCTTTTTCTCTTCATCTGTTTGTTTTTGCAGTGCTGGAGACTAAACCCAGCGCCTCATGCAAAGCACCCAAGCGCTCCAGCACTGAACCCCCTTTTTAGTAAACCGCTATTCTACCCCATCCACACCCTCTTCACGTCAAAGTGGGGCCCCACAGTCTCAGCATGGAGAGTAGCCTCAAGGTGGGCAGAGAGACATCTGCAAGGCATGTTGGGCTTGGGGATCAGAACCAGTGTACTTGCAGGAGCTGTAACTGTAACTCACAAATCTCAGGAGCTGACAGTGGCCACGTGGTCCTCTGTGCTAGGCCATGGCCCACGGAGGAAGAAAGACAGCACTCGGGTGCAGTCGTGGGAGGAGTCAGCGACCTGGAGACCTAACAGCTCCTGGTTCTTGCTCTCCCCGCGGCTCCCCCACCAGACACCATGTCTTTCCAGAAAGTGCACAAGCAGAGAGTTTGACATCCACCCCTTGAAACCAAGAATAGTTCTAACACGTAGAAAATGATGCCCATTTGGTGAGGTTGTTATAAAAAGGAAATAGGTAAATAATTAATCAGCCGGCATATTAACTGGCATGTAATACGTGGTCAGACACTGGTAGCTATTATGCGCTAAAAGCTATAACTACAGTTACTGAGCGCAGTAGTAATAGCGTGCAAAGATTCTTGCAGTTCCAAACTCGCGCTAGGGATTCTTGGGTTTGGGCTCCTGAAAGAACTGCAGAGAATTTTCTGTGTCGCCTGTGCTATTTGGGTCATGGGAGTCGAGTGGAGAGGCGATTCCTTGAACAAACTCAGAGGATAACGGGCCTAGAACCCAGTTTCTTTCTTAGCACCCTTGTTCAGCATAAACCCCAGGGAGAAGGTGGGCAAAGAGGGCAGCCCCGCGTGTGTAGGAAGGACTCTGACAGTAAACGGGCAGCTCACAGCAGAGCAGAGGGCGAGGGAGCGAGGATCGGGCGCAGGAGAGGCGCCGCCTACCTGCAGGGACGCCACGCTGACGCCGTCGAAGTGCACCTGCCCGTTGGACTCCGTGATGGTGGGGTTGGTGTAGCACATCCCCCCGTTGGCGGCAGGCAGTGCTTTGGGCTGCTGCGTTTTGTCCGGGAGCCCGAAGTCGTCTTTTCCGAAGTGGGTGTGATCGCTCTGCGTGAACAAACAGACAAGGGCGGCGGGGCTCTGAGAGGGGCCGAGCTGCCTCGGGGAACAGCGGCCGCCTCTTCCTTCAAGAAAGACAGGGCCTGTGTCTACTCCCACGTCACCTTTGCAAATTTACAGAACCCCCACACACACACGTATTCGCACTGATTGTATTCTGCTGCTTCTGTTTTTCGTGTTAGAGTACAGATCCTTTCCTATTCTGATAACATGAACGGAATACAAACTCTGCATATCCTGAGTTCCCCAGCGGAACGGCCGTGGGTCTGCTCGCGGGACAATCACATGACCCGGAGAGTGACATTTCTGCCTGCACAGAGGTGCGTCCGAGGCCCTCGTCAGGAGTTCCAGGAGGAGACCACTCACCTGCCCGTAGGTCTTCAGCAACATCTTAAGCGTTCTCTCAAAAAAGAAAAGCATGTAAAATCCTCCAAACACAGCCACTGCCTTCTCGATGTAGCTGTCGACTTTGGGATTGAATCCAAATGCCTGAGGGAAGGAAGGGCAGGCAACTCAGGTCACACTCCGCGGTTTAATCTCATCTTTGGAAAGCAATACCGTGATTTCTCAGGATGCAGTTTTTACTCAAGTTCTCCCGCTGTCCTCATACCCGGGTAATCCTGGGACTTCACCTGCTAAAACCACAGTGGGCACCCTGCTGTTAAAGGACAAAGGGTAGGGGCTGGAGTTTGAAGAGTCCAACTGTCACCATACACAAGAAATGAGTAAGCTTAAGATAAGATAGGGAGCGCAGGGACATTCAAAACACCACAAGTTTATGCTCTTTTTTTGCAGTGCTGGGAGTTGAACCCGGGACCTTTGCACTGAGCTACGTCCCCAGCTCTTTTTTATTCTTTATTTTCAGGCAGAGTCTTGCTGAGTCACTAAGCTGTCCAGGCTGAGCTTGAATTTACAATCCCCCTGCCTCAGCCTCCCAGGGTGGAGGGTTACAGGCCACAGCACATTCCTGCTCACCCCTTTCCATGCAATGTAGCCCTGCCCTCGGGAGCAGACTAGTGGGTGTCATGGCCTTCGTCCTATGTCTACACCTCGGGTGATGCCCCGCAGCCTCATCTTCATCTGCAAGCTTGCCGCACACAGTGCACAAGCAGCAAAGAAACCCTGCTCTGCACACCTAACGGAGGGTGCGGAGTCAAATGGAATAAGGAAAGGAAAAGGGGCTTTGCACACACAAAATAAACCTGTGGGGATCTGAGGTGCGATGACAAAGGCAGGTCCTTTACATGGCTACATTTTCAACAAAAGAGGTAACCTAACGTTATAGGTGTAGAATCACCAGTCCACACAGAATTGGTTTGGGCTTTGTTCTGTTTTGCTTAGTTTCGCAGTCAGGCTGGAAGTCAGGGCTGTATGTATGAAATCAGTGCTCCTCCGCAAGCCACGCTCCCAGCCAGCAGGTTTAATTCCACTGTGAAAGCAGGTGAAATAATAAATACAAATATGCGATATTGTGTTATGTTAAATGTATCATGTACTGTGCGTTTTGAGTCAGAAATCTGTGTGAACCTTTCCACTGTGCGGCGGCCTGCTGTACGGGCAAAGCAAATCGCTTCATTCCTGGATTTTAACTTTGCCTTCTCCACCTGTGGGGGTCTGAAGGAAACTCCCCGGGTTCTCTCTAGATGGAGTAACAGTGAACCCTACGCCTCTGAAGACGGCCCTCCCTTGTCTGCAGAGGTCGCTGTGAAAGCTGAAGTGGTTCTGGTGTTTCCCTGACCCTGGCGCTCTCTGGGCTGGGTCCCTGCCTGGGCCAGGCGTCCCTGCATGTGGGCCTCGTCCCTCCTCCACCGCTCTTCCCGGGGCCTCCCGGCAATGTCTCCCCCCTCCCTCCTCAGCGCTCCCTCTGGCTCCCTTTCACCTGTCTTCCTCCTCTACTTCTCCTTCTTTATGGCCACATAACAGCTGCCATTGATTGACTGAAAGCGCTCTATAGTCAATATCAGATCAATAGCGCATGTTATCAGGGGAAAGAAAGTCGCTATGGATTGGCCCCCTATTGGATTTTTCCTCAAATTTTTCCTCAAAAAAAAAAAAAAAAAAAAAAAAAAAAAAAAGGAGTTTTGTCAACCAGGGTCTTACTTGCCCTGTTTTTCTCCAGCAGTAGTAAACATAGGAGGAAATTTTGTGATATATCTTCATTAAACTTGACCTGACATATGCTTCAGAAATAAATAATAGCTAGGTGTAGTGGTACATGCCTGTGCTCTGGAAGGCTGAGGCACGAGGATCCCAGACTGGGGAACTTAACAAATTAGAAAGAACCTGTGTCAAAATTTAAAAAATATATAAATAAGAAGTACTGTGGATGTAGCTCCATATGAAGGCCCTGGGTCCAATCTCTGGTACAGAAAGGAAGGAAGGAAGGAAGGAAGGAAGGAAGGAAGGAAGGAAGGAAGGAAGGAAGGAAGGAAGGAAGGAGGTGTAGCTCAGCGGGAGCGCATGCGCCGCTGGCCTCCCGTGTCGCTGTGACCACACTTTCTCCCCTGCAGAACGCTATAGACCCGCTTGTCCCACGCACGAGGACTGCGGGAGCTACAAACGTTCAAAGGACCAAAACATTACAAAGAAATGATTCTGCACAAAAGCAGACGGCACCCTCACCTCTGGGATGAGCTGGAAAATGGCGTTGGAGAACAGCGTCCCGATAGCCAGCCCCACGAAGTAGGTCAGGATCTTCGGGAAGTAGGACTTCTTGAGGAGCGGGGTCAGCACCAGGCCGAGCAGCGAGGCCAGGTTGATGATGGTGACGGAGAGAAGCCCGTAGCCCCACACTGGGCGGGAGGGAAGGAGACAGCATTAGCCGGCCGGACCTCACCGCGCAGCGCAAAACCGGCCCGAAGCAGGCCTCCTCTTAAAGCTTCCTGGGGGAAAACGGTGCAGGAATCCGAGGACCTAACCTTGGTTTACTCGTATTTAAAGTAGAGACTGAAATTAGCTCCTATCTCGTGGAGATTTGACAAGAATAGAACCAAGTAATGCTGTTCCTAAATTGCAGCACGCTTTCAATAAATATTGTTTATTATCGTTTCCAAGAAACGTAGAAAGTTGACCGTCATGCAAGTGTCTGTCCATTCAGCTCAGGGTTACGGTGAACGGAGCAAGCTGGCTTTAGGAGCCCCGGGTCTCCTCCAGGACGGGCCCTCCCTGTGTGAGGGAAGCCACGTCACAGCTCTGGAGTGTAGACCTGTGTCACTGGCTGTGTTGTGACATGGGACAGCAGGACCCTCAGGATGCTTCAAGTAACCTGCTGTTCTCAACTGCTGTCTCAGTTATGCAGTATTCTGTAAACTCGTCAAAAATGAGGCAAGTTTAGACCATGAAATCACTGATAAAATGCAAATAATTTCTCGCTTAGAGAAGTTCACTGATCATCAGCTTAGTGTAGTCACCCATATAATTTTATGAAGCACCCTAAAAGCAACTTCAAAGAGACTCACAAAATGTGAGCTCTTGGAGAAATGAGACACTTTATCCACTCACTGAGACATCAACACAAATGTGTTCAGAAAACTCTGTGGCCTGACTCCTTGGATCCCTTTGATTCTTTCCACTTGTTTGGATGAACTCAGACTTGACTTAGTGCAGTGTTACATCAGAATCCACCCCATTTAATTATTTTTTAAACATTTCCTGATGGGAAAGTAGCATTATCCAGAGGCCAGGGAAGGGGTGAACCTATGAACCCAGGAACAAGAAGATCAAAGGCGTCAGCTTCTGACTCTGGCCAGCACTGCACTGTGCATTCGCACATTGTAACTCCTTTGAAGCCCCCAGCGATTCTAAAAGACAGGTGTTATGATTGTCTGCGTCTCTACAGAGGAGGGAGCTGCCACTGCTCAAGATCACACAGCTGCACTGAAATAAAACAGGTGACGTCACAATGAAGAGAAATATGGGCACAGGGTGCACATCTATAATCCCAGCTACCGGGAGGCTGAGACAAAAAGGTTATAAATTAAAGCCCGGCGCAGCAAACTTAGCGGGACCCTGTATCAAAGTAAAAAATAAAAAGGGCCGGGATGCAGCTCAGTGCATAGCCCCTGAGTTGGGACCCTGGTACCAAAAAAAAGAAGAAAAAGTTGCTATATTGCCAAGTTAACATCTTGGAAAGTAAGCGCTCCACTTTCTTTATTGGAATTGTTGACTTTTTCCACTTTATAGCATTGTAGTGTTGACCTTAGAATTCTTTCTCCCACTTCCTATTTCCGGCTTCCCGGATTTCATCTCCTGGTTCACGAAGTGAAGAAATCTGAGCGAGCGGAGTCAAAAACACTTTTGAAAATCAGCAATTAACCTGCACAAAAGATGTTTCTTTTTCTGAAGCCTCATTTCCTAGAATTGTATACAAGGTGGATATAATTTATTTATTTAAGAGACCTAATATAGCGCCTAACCATGTGCCAGATGTTTATTTATTTTAGGTTTATGTTTCTTGTGGGTTAGGGACACCTTGGTCTGTAACATCAAACTCCAACTCTCGGCCTTTGTCCTTTCAACAATGGATCACCACCTCCTTCTCATCCGGGTGTGAGTGTGTGTGTGTGTGTGTGTGTGTGATATTTTAAGTGTTTTTTTTAATTAGGTTATCACTTCTTGGCCTTTTGGCTAAGATCAAGTGTAAAAGAGGATCTTTAATCCTTACAGCAACAGTTCAGAAAGGAACTATTTCAGGTGGGGAAACCGAGGCAGAAAGAGGTTAAGGTCAGGTGCTCAACACAGAGCTGGGACTTGAGCTGCAGTGGGCTGACCAGAGTCTACGTGTGCAACCGGTGAACATTAGCATAGTAAGGAATCTATTTTTGACCTGTAATTAAACAGACTGGTAGAAATATAAACATACTCTAGCAAAAATATTTGCTTGAACTATTAGTAATTGCTCAAAATTTCTCTTATTTCAACATTGAAACTGTAGTGTTACTCACAAAACTACAAAGTGCACTGACAAATTGCAGTTGATGACTTCCACTCCTGGTCTGTGTCAGTTAGGAGGTCAAGGAGCTCCTGGGCTCTGCGGCCAGAACGACCTGAGCTGAGTCTTCCCGCTACCCACAAGGTGTGTAACTTCCCTGGGGCAGATGACATTAAAGTCCCTGTCCCTCCGTTTCTTGCCTGTAAAACCAGAAGCAGTTTCTACATCACGCAGCTTTTGGAAGACTGAGTGGTTTGTCTGTGTACCGTGCGTGGAAAGTACCTGTTGCATAGCAAGCCACCAAAACACAGGCTATTACCATGCTTGCTGGCATTGCTGGTATCCAAGCAATGCATGCTCACAAAGCCACTCAAGAGCAAGCTAAACAGCCACTGTCCCTGCTGAGACTTCTCTTGTCTCTGTCTCACTCCCTGTTAGACGAGCCTGCAAATACAGCACTTAGGTGCCATCTCTGTGGTGACAGATCCCAGCTGATCTCTAATGTGCCACCACCCTGCCTCCTGCCTCCTGCTCCTGCCCCATGGTGGGGTAGAACATTTGTCCGGATGGGGAAAGGGTCACAACGCCAGCGCTTGCACCCGACTTGGCTTCACTGCACCCCATGTAGGACCAGTTCTCAGACACATGGGCCTGGCCTTTGCCGCCCACCCGGTCCACCCCCAGGACTCAGTCCCTGTGCCCTCGGCCCACTGTGGTGCCCCCAGGGCCCTGCCATCCTCCCTGCACCCCTGGAGGATTGGGGCTCCCTCAGTCTGGCCTCTGCAGGGCGAGCTGCCTCTGTCCCCCAAGCTCACTCCCACCCTGCCTCTCCCAACCGCTCTGTCTTGTCAGCACAGAGCTCTGACACAGCGTGGTTTGTCAGCCTGTTTGACCGTGCATCATTCCCTACAATGTTGTAAACCCTAGAAGGGCATAAAATCCTACCTGTTCACTGCTGAACCCTCAGCATCTGCAGAGAACAGTGCTCAGTGTGGTCCAATAAGAGCAGATTATTTCTTTCAAATACAACATGTACAGTGATCCCCTTTAGACCCTACACTGCATCCTGTGACTAGCAAAGGGCACTAACTCCTTGATACGTCACCACCTCACTGACCCCTGCAGACAAACTGACTGGCTTTGCAATGAACCCGTACACAAAAGGCAGTGGAGACTAATGATTCGTAACAAGCCACAGAGTCAGCCTGCAGCCCAGGACGCACGGCACAAATACGTACACACTGAAGTCAAGGGCTGGGTCTAAGCAGAGGTAAGTGGCCCTGCATAGAGCCCTGAAGAGCAGACTTAGAAAGGTGAACGATCTTGAACAACCCAAGCACTTTCAGGTCAGGGTATCTCCCACCGCGTTCTGTGCGGACCACAGAAAAGCAGGCTGCGGGAGGCAGGCCTTAGCGTCACCCCCGACCCGACCCCTGAGTGGCCGCACGTACCTTGTGACAGGCTGGGCTTGGACGAGAGCCTAGGCTTGGCCTCGCAGGGGTGGAAGGTCAGCTGCTGCAGAACAGCCGGGCAGATGCTGGGGAAGTCGGCGCTGGTGATCCGGGTGCCATTGGAGAAGCCGTGCAGGGCAAAGATGTCTTCAGCGGATAAGCACTGAAACAGGGACCCACGACACACACGTGAACACAGCACAGCAGCTGCAAAGGTGCTGCAGGGGGTGCAGGTGCTGACGCCTCTACCAGCCTGAGGCCAACACAATGAGGCCCCAGGGTGGCCGAACCAGAAACGAGCAAAAGCCAGAACCAGAAACGAGCAAAAGCCAGAAAGGCTTTTCAGGGCCGGCCGCCGGTAACAGACCAAGGAATAAAAGCTGCAGGAGCAGCCAGGGCATTGCACGGGCACAGAAGAAAGAGCCAGGCTGGGGTTCAGGGCAGCGGAGAGGCATGGCCAGCATGCACAGGCCCTGGATCTGGTCTCTAGCACTGCAGAGAACACTCACACACACTCACACTCCTACACACTCAAATAAAACATACTGACAGCATTAACAAAGGGCTTTAAGATGACTTTATGCTCTCAGTCTTGCCTTTCATCAGTTGCGTTTGGCTTTCATCAATATTTTGTGGGGGCCACTGGGGTGACCCTCCATAATATTTCTGAGAGCACTGATTCCTTAATTTCACAGTTAAGAAATTCATCCTTCCATCAGAGCTGTAACAATCCCAACCTATAAAACTCACTTTAAATTTGTTTAGAACAAACTATTATTTCCTAAAATACACATTGTACTCAGTGATGGTGGTTAGCTTTTCTATATTATGGAAAGCTTTGAAGATCGTCCCGGGCTGTTCAGAAATTCGTTAACTTTTAATGAGGAATAGAATCTGAATAAGAAAAAAAAACTCTGTAAACATAACTTTTTTCCCAATTACTGATGATTGAATGTCACACATGCTAGGCAAGTTCTCTACCATTCCCAGCTTTTTTTATTCTTCTTTGTTCCATTTTGGGTTTTTGTGGTTTTTTGTGGGGGGTTTTTGGTTGTTGTTGTTGCTGTTGTTTTTTGGTTTTGGTTTTGGTTTTGAGACACAGTTTCACTCAGTTGCTCACCTAGCCTTAAACTTGCCTCAGCCTCCTGAGTAGCTGAGATTACATTATAGGCATGCTCTATTCAGAAGAATATAAAATACAGTATTAACACACCTTGTAAGAACTGCACAGTGTGACAAACACCTGTCCACTCAAGCGACAGTGTCTGTCTTTAACAGATGAATGCAACTGGCAATGATTTGTTGCAACCGAAGCCCACAGTCAAATCCTACAAACCTCAGCTATGGGCTCCAGACTGAACTCTTCCCTCTCAGTTCATGAGTGGCAGCCCTAGTCCCCAGGGTGCTGGCATCTGGAGATGGGCCCTCTGCAAGCCATTAGGGTCAGATGTGCTTGTGAGGGAAGCCCAGTCCAGTGGGAGGGGAGCCCTCAGCAGAGCCGGGTGTGGTGGCACTCACCTGTGATCCCAGCACTCGAGGAGGCTGAAGCAGGAGGATCACAAGTACAAGCTCAGCCTAGGCAACTTAGCAGCTGTCTACAAATTAAAAATAAAAGAGCTGGGGATGTAGCTCAATGTGAAGGGTTTCAATCTCCAGTAGTGAAAATAAAGGAAAGAAAAGGGGCACCCAAGCACTTGCTCCTTCACAAGAGGATGGCCAGAAAAGCACCTGTCCCTGGAGGAGCGAGTCCTCCCAGACAGCAAGGGCTCTGCTCTCCTGGTCCTGCACTTTCGGACTCTGGAACCAGGAGAAAGATTTCCCCATGGGCTGTGTCACCGGAGAGGGCCCAAGGGGGTCCCCACGAGGAGGCGAGGCCTGGACCCAGCCGGCTGAACAGGTTCTGTCTCTCACTGCAGGAGAAGAACCTCAGGACGGGACCGGGAGGCATAGACAGATACTGTCGGGCAGGGGAAGGGGGGTCGCAGGCCTCGAGAGGGGCCCCTGTTCAGGGCTGGAGATCCCTCGAAGGTGGGTGATCTCAGAGGCTTTGCTCCCTCTGGATCTGTTTTCCACCTGCTGCCTTTCCCTTGCCCCCCAGCCAACGTGTGGACTTAGGGCACCTGTGAGTGGGACAGCCCTGCAAGGAAAAGCAGACAAATGTTCCCAGGCTCCCAGAGGTGGAGACAAACACAGACGGCCCCGGGCCACGCGCGCCCCAGGGCTGCAGCTTCCTCAGAAGTACAATTTCTGAGATTGCGGTTTTCCTCATCTCCTCCTCCCTGTCTTTACTTCTGCCCTGAGCCCCCTGCTGTGGGGGCTCCCCGTCAGCAGCCTGGGCTGAGGACTGACGGCAAACAGCTCTGAGAAGCCGACGTGGAGGGCGGCTGCTGAGCTGCAAACGAGGGAACTTCGGAGGTCAGGCCCGGGTACAGCGGGCACCAAAGCTGTGAAACCATCAGAGACCCCGGAACACGGGCTGTACGGCACAAAGGCAGGGACGTTTTCCTTCCTGCAACCAGGCCCAGGTGGAAGCGGCCTCCTTGTCCTGCCCGCTCTGTCCTCTGGGCTGGGACAGCAACACCAAGCCCGGCCCTGCACCAGGAAGCCCAACTTGCTGTCCTGTGAAGTCCTCCGTGTGGCTCGGAACGGAGGATCATGAGCTAACAGATGGAGCAGACAGCTGCAGGGCCAGCCAGGAAAAAGACGGTGGTGACGATGGTCCCTTCCTCCCTGGGAAGAGACTGGGACGTAACTGCCAGACTCGGACTCACAGAGCCACACTTGGCTCCAGAATTCACGGGCATTGGCGCAGAAGCAGAGTGGCATTGTGTCCCCCAGGGAAGGACCGGCCTGGGAGGATGTCAGGCTCCCCACCGTAAAACAGGAGGACATCCAAAGCCTGGCTGAAAGACAGAGACCTGAGATTCACGCTGCAACCTCCGGGCTCAGGTCCACTGGGCACTGGAGCCCTTCTTTCCTCGGGAAGTGAAGCTTGAGGAGCTGGGAGAAGCTGTAGGCACAGCGATGACACCGACGGGGCAGGTCGCTCCTCGCCGTGACCACACCTCGCCCGGTGGATACCGCGCAGGCAGGTGGCATCTCTGGGACCTGTGTGCAGCAGCCCTGCCACCCAGGTGGCCGCGATGATGATGTTGGGCTGAGAATGGCCAGGAAGCCACGGGGGCCGGGGGACAGCGAAGCCCCAGGCCCAGCCCAGACCCAGGCGCCAAGTGAGCCGCAGCCGTGCTCAGAAAGCTCCTGCAGCAGAGGCCCCACAGCAGCTGCACCCCGCCTCGTGGGCTTCGCTTTTGCCTTGTTGCACACTTTGACTGTAAAATTCGAATCCACAACCAAAGAGAGCACTTTGTCTCAAAAAGGGCAGTGGAGCCATTGACAGGAAAGATAGGACAGAGCAACGAAGGCTCCCAGAATCAGCCAGGGCTCTGATGCCAAGGAGGAGGAACAGCACCCTCCAGGCACAGCCCTGCCCTTCAGAGCCATCAGCAGCTACGAGATGGGAAGAACAGCTCCACTGGGGCACCTCAGAAAGTCCTGGTGCTGCGCTGAGGAGTACGCACCTCCATAACACCCAGCTGCTGTGCTGAGCAGCATACTGCCCAGGGCATGCTCACCAGGATCTCCCACGGGCCTGGAGTGCCAGATACCAAGGAAAGACAGCTGTGGAACTTGGTTCCTTCACCCTTAGGAACCAGGCCCAGTGACTCCCAGAGGCACCCAGCAGCCCATGCACCGCCACCCACCCCCTCCCATAGCTATGCAACTATGCTATGTCTTACATGAGTTATTCCTTCATTCCACAAATGTGTGTTGGATCCTCAAAGTCTGGGGCTAGGAAAGAAACAAAGGACCCCTGCCCCTTCCACTCTGAACCTGAACACCCAGTGTGAAGGGCACAGGGTCCCCAAGCAGCTGCACTGAGGAGCCCTGCTTGGCCATGGGAGGTCAGAGGACACGGGCGTGGGCTCTGCGAGAGCAGGAGGACCCCGGTACGGGGGACCTAGAGACCCCTCATGGTGGTCCAGGCGGAGGTTTGGTTTCAGACCCTTGGAGCTGCAGCGCCTGCAGGACATCAGCCAGCCACAGCAGCAAGCTTTGCCTGAGGAGGCAGAGGCAAGCAGCAAAGCCAAGGCTCTTGGGGGAGACAGCACCTGATGGCAATGGAGGAGGTAACCAGGAAAGCAAGAGGACGGGAGAAGGGGCGGGAGCTTGGGATGCATAAGGCGAGAGAATGAGGCAGAGGCGGAGAAGCCCTACACGTAAGAAGTTGCCCAGGAAGAGGGGACACACACAGCCTGGTCTGCTTGGGGTCCCGCCCCATCCTGAGTGACAGACCCCTCCCTTCCTGCCTGCCTGCCAGGGGCAGACTGAAACGGTGGCACAGGCGCGGACTCCGGCAGGGCTGTGGAGGAGCCTTTCCTCACCCGGAACCCTGCACTCTGAGGCCTGTGGCCACCGTGCAGGAGGCTAAGGAAGAAGCAGAGGCCGAGGCCAGCCATCCCTGATGTGTCCCGGGCTTCTGACCTGGGTGGGTAAGGGAGGCCTCTCTGGCATAGCCTGCTGGAAGTTAGCGCTGTTTCTCCTTTCACTCTTCAAACGAGAGCACTCCGAGTGACGCATGAAGAATTACAGAAAACCCACTTTCTAAAGCCAATGAGTGAGTGGCCGCTGTATCCACAACCTGTGCGGAGCAAAGCGAGGAACCTTCCCACCAGCCAAACTCGTGTGTCCTCCTTCCTTTCTCTGACACATCGCCATTCTCTCCGCTTGGTTTCCTCTCCAGGGGCCGCCATGCAGGAGCACAAAGCCAGGGTCACCACACCCTGTACCTGAGGCTTGCAGCCTTCTCACTGCCACCCCCACGCAGTCCTGTCGGAGTCACCGGAGACGGGTCAGAGCGTGCGAGCACTGGGCCTGGGAAGCCACGGGCGCGGCTGAGACCAAGGTGTGCTTCGCGGCCCCCCAAGCTCCTGGGCACCAAGGAAAGCAGACACGAGGCCGCTCAGCACACAAAACATGCGCGGTGCACAGCCAGCTGGCAAACAAGTGCTCCAAACAGTGGTCTTCTCGGGGTTGAGAACAGCAGCTATGACAGGTGCTTGGCACACATGGTCCCTTTTAGCCCCACAGCAACTACTAAGAGATTGCAGAGAAGCTGCGATGAAGAAATCATGCTAGAAAGGTAAGCTGTCCAAGACCAAACAGCTCCTATTACATTAGAACACGTTTTTTCTCATGTCTTCCAACCTCTGGCAATGCCTTGCTTAAACCCTGAGGAAAACCAAGGTGGGGAAGATGCCACATGGGACTGGGACCGCGCTGAGCATGGTTTCCTGCCTCCCAGCAACACAGTGCAGGAGCCGAATCAGTCTTAGGAGCCCACTCAGAGCTAGACAGCAAAAACGGCCCTGAAGTCTCAGCAGCCTGGTTTCCCACCGTGAGGAGAATGAACAGGGGAAGATGGTGGGCACCCCTCTGTCCCCAAATGAGCTGCTGCTGCCCATCCACGGAGGACACGGCGGGCACAGGAGCCACGCCCAGTGGCAGAGGCCTCCAGCCCCACCCAGGGCCACCTCTAGGGAGTGGCCTTTGTGCTCCTCGCACCCAGGGCCTGGGGCGCTGTGCTGAGCACCCAACGCCCTCCTAGAGCTGGGACTCTTCCGGCAGCTGGAAAGAGCCAGCCTGGCTCACCCTCCACACAGCCCGGAGGCCTGGGCCATGGACACAGAGGACCAGGGGGGCGTGGGAGGAAGGGGATCATCAGCACATGGATCATCCGAGGGAGCCTGGAGCCCGTAGAACCCAGGCACAACAGGTGTTAGTGTTGTAATCTTGTGCAAATACACACCGTATGGATGAGTGAGCAAGCGAACCTCCCTCAGCTCTGTAGTGTCCTCTGCCAATTGCAAACGTGCTTTGTGTCCACAGTGGTGACCTACACACATCTGTAACAAGGCCAAGGAAGGGCATGCAGAGAGTGAGGCAGACAGGACTGTGAGGCCCCTTGCCGAGTCCCCAAAGAGCAGCCGAGCAACTGAACAGCCCGCGAACTGATTCCTTCAGGGCTCACAGACAAGGTCACAGAGTCGGGGATCGAAACGTTCTGCCCTCATGGTGGGAGCATTCAGCACAGAGGTGGCTGAGGAGGCTATGTCTGGAAGTCAGCATCACGAGCTGTGAGAACCTGCCTCCGACACAGGGGCTGAGTCCCTGCCCAGGCCTCTCCTCAGCTCTTCCCTCTACCGCCTGCCCTCAGACCCCACCTCAGAGCTGTTACAGAAATTAGTGACTGGGTTGACAACATCTAAGTATGGGAGTAGCTGATGCGGTGACCCCAACCCTGAGGTGAGCGCCCCATCTCCCTTTGGGTTCCTTAGGCATCCCGTGGTGTGACGTATTCTCACCAGTAACAGGCAAACCCACACGCACATGCACACCACACACACACACACACACACACACACACACACCACACACACACACACACACACACCACACACACACACACACACACACCACACACACACACACACACACACCACACACACACACACACACACACCACACACACACACACACACACACCACACACACACACACACACACACCACACACACACACACACACACACCACACACACACACACACACACACCACACACACACACACACACACACCACACACACACACACACACACACCACACACACACACACACACACACACACACACACAACTTACACACACATACTCATTCTTAAAACCCTTCTAAGAAAAGCTGCCCTGATCTGTGGCACCTTGCTAAGGGAAGACCGCCAAGCAACCACACCGCAGGGGGACATCCCGCTGTAAGTGAGGCTCAAACTGCAGACCTGAGACGCAGGCTGCCCTGTTAAACATGTTTATCTGGAATTATGTGGATCTTGTCGTTTCCCTTCTGCTTCTCTGAATTCACCCAAGATTTTAAAAACATACTTGTACTCCTGACTCATTAGAAAAGTAAAATTAAACCCTAGTTTTCTTTTTTTTTTCAACTCTCTTTTTCTAGTTCTCTCCTTGTCACACACCCAAGACAAGCTGGATTTAAGCTTTTACTAAAGAGGGAAAAGACATTTTTAAAGTTATAATGTGATGTCTGAAGGGTCTGCGAAGTGTGCTGATGCCACTGTGTCCCCTGCCTGTTCCCAAACCTTGTCAAGTCCTGCACTTGGTCCCCAAGACCTCTCCCCAAGCCTGGCCTGGGTTCCCACCTTGCACCCTGACTGGACAGTCTCCAGAGCCCACATCCCACTGTGAGCTGGCCTGGCCTCCTCCCTCTGGCTGCCCGGATCAAAAGGCCTTTTGTCCTCAGCCTGGGGATGATGAGCAGGAGACACATGTGTTTCCAGCCACCAAGAGTGACTCATCCCCAAGGCCCCTCACCTCCACACACAGGGACACCCAGGACGTGCCAGGCAGCAGCACACCAGTCCCCAAGGAACAACCCAGGGACCTAGGGGTGCCAAGACTCCACCAGAGGTCAGCAAAGTTGCAGCTACCCTCAAGGTGACACCAGGACTCCATGTCCCTTTGTCACTCAGGCTCTTAGGTACCATTATGGCTATGTCTAGATGTCCCCCCAAAGCCTCATGAGGTCATAAGTGGGGCTTTTCAGAGGTGGCTGGACATAGGCTGTGTGGAACCGGGATTGATTCGTGGTACAGTGCTAGGGTCAAAGACACTAGGATTAAGGGTGTAAGTGCTGCCCACCCTACATAGCCTGGATAAGATATAAGGGACAGGAAGAGCCCCCATCAGCCCTTGCCTGCCTGCTTGCTGGGGCCTGTTTCTCCTCTGCGACACCCCTCTGTATGCCACCCTGCCTTGGAGCCAACCAACTCTGAGCTGAAATTTTATGCACTGTGAGCAAAATAAACCTTTGCTCCTTTAACTTTGGGTGTCAGGTATTTTGTCACAGCAGTGAGAAAAGTGACTGAGACAGGTGTGAACGCGGGTTCTGCAGAGGCCCCACGGCATGGGAGTGCCACAGTGGTTCCTATGGGAACCAGCCACCTCCAATCGGGCTAGATGGCCACCCACACCATGTTTCTGCTGGCTTTGGGCCATGAAAAATAGTTACTTTCCATCCTAAAATGTCAGCACGGAATGGGCTTATTATTGTCCTTTTTCATCAATTAAATTTTTTAAGTCTTGTCAACATTAGTTTCTACAGTGGTAAATCCTGATAAGACCCTGTGTACTAAGGCTTGATGGTGTTTTGGGGCTTAGTCCTCTCTGTCCCCAGGCCCCACCTGGATGCCCTCATCAGCCTGGCCACCTCCCCCACCACCAAAGCCAGCACCCACAGATCACTCACTTGCATGGCACTTGCCGGGGTTTCTTTACAGGGTGGTCTGCACATGCGAACCAGTATGAGGCTACTCAGGTCACAGATACCTAGAGGATGGGCTTCTGCTGCACGATGGTCAGAACCTCTAACAGGGCTCTGGACTGGGAGGCCCCTCGCTAAGTTGAAAGATTAAGAGAAGAAAGTGCACGAATGGAGACAAAAACTAGCACCTAGCTTTTCAGTATTATTCTGAGAAATACAGAGGGTGACCTGCCAATCATTTAAATGTCTGAGGAGACAAATTTCATACCAACGAGGTTTTCTTCTCCTTCTATGAAACTTTCCTGGAATCCGCTTGCTGAGGAATTGAGACTAAAAATAAGCCAATCCTGACAGCAGCGCCTCTAAATTGCCCTTAAAAACAGAGCGACAACAATGGAGAAACCTAAATGAAGGGGAAAGAACCCCGGGAAGTTCACACATTAAAAGGAATAAAAGTTCATTATATTTCCTTCTACTCAGGTTTTTATACAACGGAGTACTACTCTCCCATAGAGAAGGATAAACTTGAGACAGTTCTAGCTAACTGGATGCACCTTGAGACCACACTGTTAAATGAAATAAATCAGACACACATGTTTAAATACCATGTTGTTTCTCTGGTGTGAGAAACCAAAAGTGTAAATGAGAACCAAAATATATAATAGATATTGGGAAATGGGATGAAAATGTTCAAATGAAAAGAGGAACAAAGGAAGGGGGGAAGGAGAAAGGAAAGAGAACAATAAAAATAAAAGAGAACATTTCCTTCTACTCAGACAACACATGAGTAAAATTTTAGCATATAACTCTTTGCATACTATTTTAAAAATTCATAGTCTGGATCAAAGAAAGAACTTGCTGGTTTCCCTTGAATACGCTATTTAGATTGATGGAACTAATTCAGAAAGTTGTGTTGTACAAAACTTACTGTTCAAAGTTATTTATCAAATAAAATTTAGTCATTCAGCAAACACCTGATGAATCTCAGCAGTGTGCTGGACACCACGAAGTCAGGGGGACAGAGAAGCTGCCGTACACACGGGTCTCTCGTTTACAGGTCTCACAGAGACACTAGCAGGCTGCCGGTGAAAGCACAGGGAACTACCCAGGCCCGAAACATGCTCAGGTAGGGTCGGAAGTTGGAAGATGCCAGAGCAGCTGGCCCATCCAGACATAACGGGAGGGTCAGAGGCTCCCTG